CAGAAGACCATAACCAACACACAGGAATTTCTTCCGAATTTAGGATGTGGGCTCACCTGTACATGATGCCCCAAAGCTATGAGAACTGTAGTCACATTCTATGCTGCTCTGAGAGGAAGTTAAAGCTGTCACCACATGTGTTGTGTGATTCCAATCAAAAATGTATCAGCTCTCTTTGCAGCTGGCAGCAGATTGACAGCACAGCAGCTATAAATGGAAAGAAAGCTCATACATAGTAGCATGAACAGATGCCTATCACTTTTTCTCAGTGCAATACACTGATCACTGTGGCCTAGGCCAGTGGTTCCCAGCCTCTGGTATCCTTACCAGTAGTTATACTTCTGGCTTTTGGGCCTGGTATTCTATGTTCCAGCTCCCAGCCATAATGATGAACCTGCATGGTACGTCCCATTGCCTGTCTCCCCTTCACGTTCACAGTTTCTAACCCACAGTGGATCTTGTACTGCTTGAAACTCCAGACTCATAACATCCCTGCTGTTTGGTGCAGCTGAAGTGCCATTACTTATTAGAAAAGACTACTAAATACAGGGTCCAGGGGGCACATCACTTCAGTGTGTGGCCTCCTGGGTCTTTTAATAAACTATTGGAAAAAGAGGAAAAAATATGAGTTAATTTACCTGCACATAGAAAGAGATATAGGAGCAGATTATCATTTAAACTAAGGCAGTGTAAAGGGGCCTTACAGTGGGAATACATGTAATTACACCCTTTTAAAGGCCATCTTTATAATCATCTTCACGCTGCCAGAGGGCTGTAAATGGGCCTTCGTGCAACTGGGAATAGTATGACAGGTTTCAGAGTAACAGCCGTGTTAGTTTGTATTCGCAAAAAGAAAAGGAGTACTTGTGGCACCTTAGAGACTAACCAATTTATTTGAGCATGAGCTTTTGTGAGCTACAGCTCACTTCATCGGATGCATACGGTATGCATCCGATGAAGTGAGCTGTAGCTCACGAAAGCTCATGCTCAAATAAATTGGTTAGTCTCTAAGGTGCCACAAGTACTCCTTTTTTTTTTGGGGGGGGAATAGTATATGAACTATTGAACTTAATTCCAAACAAGATACTAAATACATCACCGTTACAAGTATTAAATTACAGTACTGTGATAACCAGCATATTAGATTGAGGCCTTAAGGGTGGCACCTGATAAAGCCAGATTGTGAACGAAAGACACAACAAGCCATTGCTCTTGTAAATGATCACAAGTAGAGTTCAGGGGATTAGTGATCATCTAGCTCTCTCTAGTCTTAAAACAGTCTAGTGTCAAGGCAGATGTACCTGCTTACTCAGTTACCTACCAGTATCTACATACCAGCTACAAGCTCAGTAAAATGTGCGATTTTAAGCTTTCTGAACTGCCAGTTTCAGCACCCAAAATGTACATTTTTCACTGCACTCTACCAACACAATCTCTGGAATAAATCAGTTTACCAAGGTATTACAGAGGAGAGGGAGATGCAGTGACAAGCACCTGGCTACACATAAAGCCTTCTAATCCACTAGGAGTATCATCATCTCAGCATAATTCCATCCCCCAGCCTTATTTAAGCAACAAAACATGACAAGGGGTGTGAATCATGCTGGGATAATGCCATATCGAACCACATGTCCTGTGTGAATCCTAGGAGCTGCATCAAAATGCACGTGACATACATGCTTGCTTTGCCATGCCATACAACCTTTATAAAATCAGATACCATTAAATCAGAGAGATTCAAGATGTTGCATCTGACAAACTGCCTATATAAATATATATATCTTACTATGTGCCCCTTGTTTTGTTTTTTAACCTTCTCTCCCTTTTTATATCCTCCATTTTCCCTTCAATATTTTGATGCCTCTGTTCTTCAGCCTTTCAGAGACCTTTTAACATTTTCAGTTCATTTTATTCTCTAAAAGTCTCTCTCTCAAAGATGTTTTTCCTCTTCTGATTTGACCTTTCCCCTCCACATCTATTTTTGCCTTCGCTGTTTCTTCTCTTCTCTGTTCCAGTCTCTCTCCACCACTATTTATCCATTTCTCACCACTTTCTTTGATTCCCTATCCTCCCAAAATGTAAGTGAGATGATAACCCTATGTATCAGCCATGCCTTTGGCTGTACAGCATATATACATCTGGAAGTGCTGTAATTGAGAAACTACTGGTGGCATGTCCTATGGCTGACTTACCCACAGAGGCAATGGGAACACTGTCAGGTGTTAAAAATACTAAAGCCTACTTCTCGTCTCTTGGGTAGTATTGTGTAAGTGGTACTGTTTTTGCTTTACTGACTTTCATATTGAGTATCTCAGACATTTTACAAGATCCATTGTCCTTTTCTTTAGAAGGCACCATAAAGTGCTGCTACTTTTTGTTTCTATCTCTTCACATTGTGTAGCGGAAATTGCTATTTGGCTAGAACGCTCTTGTGGCTGAACTGCACAGAAAGTTCATGTATCTATCTATATGTAAAGGCTTCCTTCAACTTTAAAAAAAATTTGTTATCACACCCACATCCACACCCCCTGTATATAAATGTACTTGCAGTATTCAGAGGAGTCACTTAATCTGGCAGATTTCTCTTGTGAGCATTTTGCTGCTGTTCAGAACACTGCTACTGTAGTGTGCAGGTAAGGGGAAGGGGAAGGGGGAGGGCACATAGTTATTAAAGAAAGATACTGACAGATATGGTATTTTTCTGCAATATCCTGGACAAGCCTTTTTGAATTAAGTTTAAGTATTTTAGGAGTTCATTGTATTAAAAATGCAAAATGGTTATGTATTATTGCTGGATTGTGTGTAATATCTCTAGGGGTGAGACATGACTAATGAAGACCCTGGGAAATATTATGAGCCTCACAATCTATTTGAAACAATGTGCCAGAAAAGAATGAACTGTTATAGTTAAGTGGCTTTGTCATAAATATAAAGGGAAGGGTAAACACCTTTAAAATCCCTCCTGGCCAGAGGAAAAACCCTTTCACCTGTAAAGGGTTAAGAAGCTAGGATAACCTCGCTGGCACCTGACTAAAATGACCAATGAGGAGACAAGATACTTTCAAAGCAGGAGGGGGGGAGAAACAAAGGCTCCTTCTGTCTGTGTGATGCTTTTGCCGGGAACAGAAAAAGGAATGGAGTCTTAGAACTTAGTAAGTAATCTAGCTAGATGTGTGCCAGATTCTGTTTTGTTTAAATGGCTGATAAAATAGCTGTGCTGAATGGAGTGTAGATACCTGTTTTTGCGTCTTTTTGTAACTTAAGGTTTTGCCTAGAGGGATTCTCTATGTTTTGAATCTGATTACCCTGTAAAGTATTTACCATCCTGATTTTACAGAGGTGATTCTTTTATTTTTTTCTTCAATTAAAATTCTTCTTTTAAAAACCTGATTGCTTTTTCATTGTTCTTAAGATCCAAGGGTTTGGGTCTGTGTTCACCTATGCAAATTGGTGAGGATTTTTATCAAGCCTTCCCCAGGAAAGGGGGTGTAGGGTTTGGGGAGGATTTTGGGGGGAAAGACGTTTCCAAGCTGGCTCTTTCCCAGTTATATATTTGTTAGACGCTTGGTGGTGGCAGCAAAAAAGTCCAAGGGCAAAAGGTAAAATAGTTTGTACCTTGGGGAAGTTTTAACCTAAGCTGGTAAAAATAAGCTTAGGGGGTTTTCATGCAGGTCTACACATCTGTACCCTAGAGTTCAGAGTCAGGAAGGAACCTTGACAGGCTTTCTTAGGAAATCTCTACGGGGAGGTGTATGCAAATGTAAGCCCCCTGGTTATGCAAGAACTCAGACTTTTGAAGCTTTGCCCTGAGGAGGGGACCTTTATCTGTGCTGATCACCTGTTACATGAGGACAAGATCAGAGGCCAGGTGGTATAAAGGAGTGACTCACAGATTCATGAGAGTGCTGAGCCAAGGTGGTTACGAACTTGTAAGCACAGAAAAAAACCCTGGTGGAGTTTGAGGGACTGACTCCTTCCAGATTCTTGGTTGGAGTTGGGGTGATCTCTGGTAAGTTTATTAGCATGCACGTAGGTTCTTGTATTGTTTTCAATATGTTTTCTCTCTTATGCTCTTATCTTAAGAATAAATGTGCTTGCTTAGGAAGGGCTGTGTGATAACTTACATCTCTGGGCAACTATGCTGTTTATAACCGCTGAGGAGGCCTGTTTAGGCAGTCGGACTTGCTGGGGAACTCACAGTATAGGCAGGGAGCTCTGCAGCCTGAAAAAAACCCTGGTCAGGAGGGAGAGACACATGGGTTTCCACCCAAGAGAGGTAACGGTTTGAAAGCCTAGAGTATTGCCATTGCTGGACCACAGAAGAGGAATACAAGGGCAGTTGCCCTGAACTGTGACAGAACCCTCCTGTAGTCTCACAGCATAATTGTACATTCATGGGTTAACTCATTGTATACCGTGCAGTAGACATGTAAAAGGTAGATTTTTGACTTTCATTCTTGATGTTTTCATTTCTTCTTCATTATTTGTATTACAGAAACACCTAGTGGCTCCACCTGACACCAGGGCCCCACTGTGCTGGGCACTGTACAAACACATTGTAAGAGACAGCTCTTTGGCCCAGAGATCTTAGTCCGAAGGGTGGGATTGTCAAAAGTGCCGAATGGAGTTTTGAGCATCAGTCCCGTTGATTTTTAACTTGTGCTTCTAAATCTCTTAGAAACTTTTGACAATCCCACCCTAAATAGAAAAGGCAGCCAAAGAGTGGGAGAAAGGCAGGATTATCACCCCCATTTTACTGACAGGAACTAGAGCAGAGCGAGAATGAATGATGTACCCCAAGTCAGATATGATGTTACGGGAACTGCAGGGAACTGCACCCACATTTCCTGAGTCCCAGCCCAGTCTCTTAACCACAAACCAGCCTTCCAATCATCTGCATTGTCTCTGTGTTAGGAAGGGCTGTGTGATAACTTACATCTCTGGGCAACTATGCTGTTTATAACCGCTGTTTATAACAATGCCTCACGCTTCCCACTTACATTTTCACTATTGATATCTGCCTCACTGGGGCAGCCAAAGAGCTCCCGCCTCAGCAGGTTCCCATCGTACTCTAGGAATGTCAGGTAGAGGTTGCGGAAAAACTCCACGTGCTTGTTTTTCACTCGCAGCTTCTTTGGCGAGTTCCAGTGAATCACCTGGTCGGGAAAACAAAAAGGGAACAATCCTGTTGTCAGCATGCAGCCTTTATACATCTTTAATATCCTTCCCTCTTTGCAAAAATATCCTCCCCTCTTTCTGCCTTTTCACTGGGAAGGTTTTGTGGTGTAGTCCATAAGTAATGGCATGTACTGTACAGATTCTATGCTTTTTATATCTTCCATACAATGTATTGCATGTATATTTGTATGTGTCTCCTTATACTTTGTGATGCAACACTGCATGCATATTGGCAGGGCTGGAGTCACGGACGAGTTATGTTATAGATGTTGGTGAGAGGAGAAGTCTGATGGAGAAAAAGCTGCGGCTATAAAATTTGGTCTGGGATTTTCCAGTGACTGTCTCAGCTGATGAAAATTATTCACTGTCTAGTGTCAGACAGCCTCTTCACTCATTGGGAATCAAAGAGAAAGATTCTCAAATTAATTTTTGTTTCTCTTTACCCACCCCTCTGCCCCTCCAAACAGACTGAATCTGATCCAAAAAGATGCATTAGCTGACAATGCTTCATGTAGGGTAACCATATTTCCCAAAGGGAAAACGGGACACCCCCAGCTGCTCACCTGAGCGTGCCTCCCTCCCCCAAGTGAGGCTGTTGCCAGTCACTGGAACCCTGCCAGCCCCCTGCATGCTGGAATGCTGCCTCCTTGCCCCCACCTAGCCCTACCTTCCCCTGTGCGGGCTGGCATCTCTGCTCACCCCCCCCCCACATGTTCCTCCACATCATACCCCACCTTTTTTTTTTTTTTTTTTTTTTTTGATAAAAATGGGCATTTGTCCCATTGTTCTTGCCAACTGATCAAGTTGGCAAAAGAAAAAGGGACAAAAGTCCAATTTTGAAAAAAAAAAAAAGTTGGGATGGCTGGGACAGGGCTTAGAAAAGGGACTGTCCTGTCCAAAACAGGACCTATGGTCACCTTAGCTTCATGTGAACTTGGCTGAACTTTGTTGTGTTGCATGGCAACACTATTTAATTCCAAGTGCCAGCAGGTATTTAGCCATTACTAGAGGGTGATGACTCCCTTGCTGGCCTAGGTTTAACTGTGCCACAGACATAAAGGGTCTGATTCTCATTTATGTTAAGGCCACTTCACACTGCTCTGTCAGCGTAACTGAGAATAAAGCCCAAAGAAAACAGCAAGAGTGGAGCCAGAAATGGATTGCAGGAATTATTTCATTTGATGGAGGTTGTATTTTAGTCATAAACATGAAAGCTTTGTATTCAATTTTTTTCTGTGACTTCCAAAGGGATTAACCCTCCTCCCCCTTTTGGGAGTACTTCCAAATGGGGATTTCTGGAGGTCCTGCGTACCCATTAAAGTAATGACATGAAGGCGTGGTGTCCCTCATAGTCGGCCGCAACAGACTTCAGTGGGTGCCAACTGCTAACCTAGTAGTGGCTGCTGCATCTGTGCACTGTAAACATTGTTCTAACAACCCTCTTTTCTGATATGGGAACCTTTATTCCTTCCCTGGCCATTGATATGAAACCAATCAAAGTTTCAGAGTACCAAATACGCTGTGATGTAAATTTAAGTTGTGAAAAATACGATCACCTTTAGAAATAAGCAAATCACTTTTTCCAATTAAAGAAACACTTGAAATAAAAATAATGAAGTATCTACATACTGTATGATCCAGGGAGACCACTTGGAGCAAAGATATTGCTCTAAGAATTATTCTTAGGCAGTTTTGCTTTTTGTTGGTGTTGTTTTGCCTTTTTCTATATTCTCAGTGTCTAGTTTAACTCTGAAATAACATCCTCTATGGTATGCAATGAGAAGTGCACATTGTATAGAAACAAATGGGAGCTTGAACCAGCATTGCTGGGATCTAAAACAGATTGAAAGCCATACAAGATTTACTCCAACAAAAGAGGATCTTGAAGACTCCCTGCTTTAAAAAGGGCTTTATTGGTTTCATGCCATTGTGTTTAACTGCAGCAGAGGGCACTGCAAAAAACAAGTCTGAATCCTACCTCAGGGGAAGCAGACAAATATAATACCACAAACAAGGGACTGAAGGAAATCTAAGGGGCTGCTAAACAGTTTTAAGGGGTTCTAGCAGTTTTGTCAAACAGGCATGGAATGCGAATTGTTCATCTGCTGATAATTTGGACTGCTTTAGGATGAGATCCAAGAACAGAGAGATTGGAAAAGTGCAAGAAAAATGCCTACCAATTAAATCTTTTTTGTGCTACTCCCACAGTCAGGATGATTTCCTTCCTGCATTCCCCCTGCGTATTGTGTCTCCTGCCTGAGCACCTCAAATCCTCATCTTGGGGATCTGAACCATTCAAATCGTTAATGAGAATAAACTAAATTTCTGTGTATAGGACTGGCTCCCTTCCCCACAGGGCTTTCCCATCATCACACACTATGTCACATTGCAGCAGAATACTAGTGTCCTGATGCCTCTATTCTACTACGTGGGTGATGATGTCAAATCAAGACAACCGTAGATGGCAACTCTGAGTCTCCTTGCTGCTGCAATTGAAAAGTTATTGTGTCTCCAAAAGCTGGTAAGTGTCAAGGATCTGGTGGTCATGATCTAATCAGATTTGAAATGCGTGTCAAGATTCTGTATGTGTACAGATGTCAAGGCTGCCTGGAGTGAGCTGCAGAAAGATGAATGGAATTGATTACCGTCCAGAAAACTTGAATTTTTATCAAGAAGGACAAGCAGATTTCAACTGGTCAGAGGACAGAAAGAAACAATGTAACCAAGTCAAGGACACTAGAAAAAGCACAAAACAGATCTATTAAAGGTGAGGGGCTATTTTAAAAAGGAGCGTAATTAATGAAACTCCCTGAAATACCTGAAAATACAAAAGGATAGCAAGCTTCACAAGACACTAAGCATCTTAACCACCAGCATCAATTCCTAATATACACAGAAGACAATATTGTATGTTTTTTTCTAAGTGCCAAGCCCACAAATTCACCATGGGCTCAGACTGAAGCTGGATTGTTTCCGTCTTGTGTACCATCACCAACAGCAGAGATTCTACAGCCCAAAGATACCAGTGTAACCTTACATGGGTTGGAACAGGCATCACTGAGGGAATAATATGAAGACGATAGGGTTGAATAGATATAGCTAAAGCCATAATGGGGCTATGAGAACCTTTGTTACTGGGGATGATGCATGATATGGTAACAACTCAGTTTGACTGTTAAGAGTTTAAGGATGATTTGGTGGATAGGGCACTTAGAAATGAAAAATAAATCTTTACGTGCAAGCTGAGTAATTCTGAACTGGAGATTAGAAAGAGACAATGAATGTAGAACCCAAAAATGTCATTTTTGCTGTGCCCCTTTTCCAGGACTGAACCATACTTTAATATTGTATTCGCTTTCTTTTTTCCCCTTTCTTTTAATTTCCTAGCATTTTAAAAGAAATTGTGAAAAGAGAGAGCTTCAATTTCCAGGACTTTGAAGCTCTGCTGGTGTGGGAAAAAAACCCTGCAGCTAGAGCATGTAAATTCCACTACCTGGAACTGCTTGGTTGGACACCACATAAACACGGGCATCCTTGACTAAGGCCTCCTAAGAATTAAGGAAAATATACCTCTTAATCTTTATTTAGCAATTTATGTCCTAAAAGATCTGAACTTAGAATTCCACACCTATTTAACTCCTGATTAATCACCATTAAGCAACTTGGCACTATCTAAATTTCTACTAATACCATCCCACTTAATCAGCAGCCTTTACCACTCACTGAAATTAGGCTCAATCAGTTCCCTGGAATACAACCAAATATATTGTGCTCAAGTGAAGCAGAGTACATTGTAATGATAGTTTACCTTTATACCACATCTTTCGTCCCAAAGCACTTGGCCTGTTATACACTTGGCACACCATGAAAATGCATTTAACTTTGAGACGGAAGATAGCAGAAAATGCTCTACAGCAGTGGAGGAAGGATATGTAGCATAATGATGCAAGCACAAACTCCTACTCTTACAACCCTGGCTCTAACATCCACACAGACATCAGAGCTGCAGTTTTTAAGGTACGGCCTGAAAATTCACACAGTTAACTGCATGGAACTTAGTTAAAGACAAAGTTCTGTGCAACCTTTCCTAGGTTTCAAGTTGTTGCAAGTTGCATCATTTGCTCCAGGGAGACTCAATATTTCAAACCTGATGTTTAGAGCACATAGCCATACCCTCCAGCAGAACACTGTATCTCTGGGTACCTTCTTAAGGCTTCAGAATGGTGATCAGTGAGTTTCTTCAATACGGTCATTTGTAGCATTCTAATGTTGAATTTAGTTGTAGTGTCTAGGAAGTTGATGCTGGGGTTGGAGTGTTCTACAGAGAGTTTGATGGATGGGCAGTGATTGTTGAAATTGTGGTGGAAATCTCTGAGAGAGTTTAGGTCTTCTGTCCAAAGGATGAAAATATCATTGATGTATCTCAGGTATATTGTTGATTTTGTGGTGCATTTTTCAGAAATTCTTCCTTGAGATGGCTCATGAAGAGGCTGGTGTATTGGGAGCTACCTTAGTACCCATGGCTGTTCCCACATTTTGGTGAAAGTGTTTGCTGTTAAATGTGAAGTTGTTGTGGTTGAGGATGAAATGGATGAGTTTGGTGCTGTGTTTTGTGTGGATAGCCAAGTGTTGTCCGTTCTCTTGTAGGCATTTGAGGCAGGAACCAGTGCCGTCATGGTGAGGAATATCGGTGTATAGGGAGGTGACATCCATGGTGGCAAGGATGGGATTCTGGGGGAGGTTGTTAATGTTGTGGAGTTTGCAAAGGAAATTGCTAGTGTCTTGGAGGAAGCTGGCACTTTGTATGGTGAATCATGTAAGGATGTGCGATAGGACCCTCAGTGGCCGGGCAAGCTAGTGGCTAGATCGTTGGTTCGGGGGGCTGTAGGCAGCCACGTAGCCAGGAGGGAACGGGGGAGCGACCCAAAAAAAAAAGGCGCCACCCGCTGCGGCGCTTTTACTCACCCAGCGGCGCTCC